TCACCAGAACTCAGAAACAACTTGAAGGCACCCTACAGCAACAACAGGCAGTAATGATGGCTTGTTGGTTCATACACAAAGTATAAGAGAATATCCACGTCTCGGCTGGATTTTCTTTTGAGTGGATTAACCAGTGCGAGATTAATATTGAAACAAACAAGTGCTTTGGATATGCAATTCACTGTTCCATAAATTCTTCAAAGAACCATAAATTCTTTAAAGATATTTGATGGCTAACAGATACTGGCTGATTCACTTCACATATGAAGATGTGCAAAACTATAAAAGCATCTGTGGACTTGTTTCCTTCACATCTACATCTGGGCTATGCCTTGTTTTAACAGAGCTGAATCTGTCCCTTTTAAATGTTTCTGTTTGTTTATATTTTGCACATTTTTGTGCACATTTTTAAAAGATGTGTATTGCTTGAAAGCATTTCCTTCACTGACAACAGTGTGGTTTAGCAATACTGTGTACACTTTTAAAATCTGGAAATATCTCTCCTTCTCAATGTACACTTTTGAAATATGTGATTTTTTTTTTCTCCTTGAGGCATTTACAGCTGCCCAGCAACACAAGAACACAGACTGTATGTATCCTGCAGACTGTCTGGGAAGTATGGATTGAAACAAGCCCATTGAGACTCAGGCTGAAATTATATTCTTCACAAACCCCTTGTCGATATATTTATTGTGAAGTATTGTTGCTGCTCTTTTTCTTTTTCTTTTTGATAATCTAGTTTCAGTGCATTGTCTCTTTATCACCTCTCAGCACAACTGTACATGTGTTTAGGAATTCAACATTAAGCATATTTGTAGAACAGTAAGAGAAGAACCAAGGTTGTAGCCCTGTTCCTGACTTTCATGTATCCACTACACTGCTTGCATAAAAGACAAAATGAATACAACCCCACAAAGCCTGATTAAATTCTGTATTCCTGGCTACATACAGAAATTATATACACATCCAGTTATACATATTAGTTTTTTTGCAAATATCATGCATTTACTTTCAAGTGTACATGGACATTACTTGTGTAAATAATCCAAGAAACGTGTACAAATTGGAGGTCGGTATATCAGTTATGCACAGATTTCTGGCTTTTGATACATTAATTTGGAATGTCCTAAATATTTACTTTGTTTATATCAATATGCATTTTTTTTGTAATAAACTCTTCCAGTTTTAATGTCTCAATAAAAACAGGCTGGTAATATAACTACACACTCATACAAATGATCAACCAGGTGATTCTAGTATAAAATTGCATGTTAGCACAAACTCCCAGGCAATCTAATGCAAGACAGTCACTAGAAAGGAAGCAGAGCATTTCTTGCCAATGTGTGTAATATAAATCAGACTTTGATGACCAGCCCATGAAATAATGAGACCACACACAAGAATTGGCTTGAAATATGGGCCACTTTATTTAACTATCACCTTAAATAAGTTTTATCCCCTGAGTTGTACAAAAGGAGAGGAGCATCCTAGTGTGAGAGTAACTGGGGCAGTTGGTGTCTCCCAGGCCTCTTCCCTAGCTTTCTGTGGGTGAAACGCCTGAGCCTCAGGGAGAACCCAAAAGCTGGGTTGCTTCCTAGCTAGCTATCTACAAGAAGACCAACCCAAATATCCAACTCCAAGCTGCATGACTAAGGGCTAAAACTTTCAGACAACCCCAAGAACTGTCTCCTTTTCCACATCCAAGTCTCCTGACATGTAGGAGCTATTCCAGAGACCTATCATTTACCAAATGGGTGTCATAGGTATTCACCAAAATCTCACTTTCTCCGCCAACTACCATCCAAACAATCACCTATTTATGACACTACATGAACCAAATTTTCAAATCCCCTTGTGACAGTGTAGGGTAGGTAGAGATGACAAGGTGGGTCAATCCAAGATAACAGAGTACAGAGGAAGAGGGCAACAGACGGAAGAGGGCAACAGAGGAAGACAACTTGCCCTCTTGACCCTTGCCCATCTTGGCTGGCCAT